GAAAGTTATTTACTTCAATGCCATGCTATTTGTCAGAAATGCTGCTCATCACTAGCTCAGAGTTTCCACTTGTTTGATTTATCACCACAAAGAAAAAAAAAAGGGTGGGTAAGTGTGGTTCTTGTTTGTCTATTAGAACATGCTACTTGTTCATTTTTGTTCCATGTTAGATGTGCAATCAGCTTGCCAGAAATGATGTGCAGCATTTAATTCCCTTTGTTGGCACCATTGATACAGATTGTGTTAATCTGATAAAGCTATTTTGATGTGTTTTTCAAGAATCTTTTGTGGTGACTAGTTGGTTCTTAAAAGTACTTGTAGCATTGGTGCCTTGTCCTTCTCTTTATTGAGGATACTGTCGCGAATCTCTGTACTGGAAGTGATTCTGTCGGTGAGAGCAATTGTCTTGACATTTTTATGCAACATCACTTAGGATTTATTGTATTTGATATTATTTGTACATGTGCGTGCCTTTGTCCATTCCACATTCCCTTTCCTGTAGGCTGTAGCCCCCACCTGCCTCCCTAAAAGAAGAGGGGGGTGGGGGTGGGGGGAAACAAATTGTGGAGGGTTGGTTAGTGGAAGAGAGAGTTACTTATGCATCAGATGGTGCAATTCATTCAAGTGTTATGCCATCATGTAGTTTTATTTCTGTTAAGCTACTTTTGAAAAACCTAGATAGAATAATGTTTCAAGTAATGTTTTACCCACAGAGGATGATTTCCTGTTAAACGTGAAGTTATTGTGACATATAATTTTGGAGACACGGAACATAATCTCTTGGTCCCTGCCATAAATAATTTGAAAAAAAGAGGACTGCAAAGTTTGATCTCAATTTTTATGCTCTTTCTAGAGAAGAGATGGCCACTATAGGGGGATTTATCTATGGGTGTTTATGGTTCAGGTCCTTCTGCATTCTATTTTGATGGAGATGATTTAATACTTGTGCATTCTCACGGTGAAAAGAATCTTAAGAATTATTTGATACCACGAGGCACGAGCTATGCTCTCCTCTGGGGTGGATGGGGACTCACATAAATGGATTGATGCTGAAAATGGAGGTAAAATAGATGAACTTATAAGGAAGACAGTGAGTAGAATAAGCCATTGCTCTCCATTTTACCAAGGCAAGATGAAGTTCTTTGCCACGAGTGAGTCTTCAAGAAAGGCAGCGGGAAATAAGAATAGAGTGTTCATGATGTGCCACTCATGCCAGGTAATTTTTCCTTGAGTGCTTGTTTGTGTTAATAATCAATGATGAGAGAAAATGTGTGCAACTAACTAATGTTCTTGTCCGTCGTGCATAAACTAGAGCTGTAAGAAGACTGCATCATTTTCAGAAGCTATGTGCTCTGAGCTTCCACAGCAGTCATACCATCAATATAATCAAAATCTTCCATCCCAAGTTGTGATGATCGTGTATTCTCTGATGAAAGGTAATGTTCTCAAATTTCTCGGGAATGTGAGGTCTCTTTCTGATATTATCTCAATCAAATATGTTAGTAACTCACATGACCTGATGTTTCTCTCTTCAGGCCAAGTGTGAAAATGAAACTTGATGACATCTGGAATAACAAATTGCAAGCTCAAGGGGAGTGCACAAGTACACGCGATGGGGAGTCAAAAGAACGTAAACCATTCCTGCAATTTGTTCCTGACCTGAATAAGAGCTGAACTTTTCCAGTTCATGTTTCAGTTAATTAGCTTCATTTCTTCACCCACTTTTCAAGATTATCTTAGACTGCAGTCTTATAATCATGAAAGCCATAGAGATTACAATGTCTCTTTCTATGTCTGCTAGGCCACACAGTCTTTTCCAAATTCCATTTAGCTTATGTTTTGATCTTGTAATAGCATTGTCATGCCCCCTGACATTTTAAAATCAAATTTTCAGAATTTTGACCGACAAAAACTCAAAGTTTCTTATATTCTGGGACAAAATGGAGGGACTTCCGTCCAGAGATTACAGTTGAGTACCTTAGCTATATCTCGGATGTTTTTGCAACTTCTTCTCTATCTTGTTAAGATGATGAACTTTTACCCTTTCCAGTATGAGATGCAGAGCAGAACTGGAACAGAGAATCTGAAGAAGTGGACTTTTACCCTTTCCAGTATGAGATACTATACTCAATGTCACTTCTGGCATCTTGTATTTTGTTGGTGATTCATTGGTTCCTGACAGCATTGATAAAAACTGTCTGGAGGGTGCCAAAGTTCTCCAATGGTTGATAAGAAGTTTATTCCGTTAGTGGTGTGCCCACACTTTCTATAATTGATCAGGTCTATTCTGGCCTCTGTATATTCCATTATGGCCATTCTTGGTTTCTCATGAATTCCTTATAATGCATTGGTTTTAAACAATTGTTTCTCTTAGGGATCGTTTGGTTGGACTCATTAGCAAATTTAATTCAGCATAAACTTCCGAATAAATAGTATATCATTTGTTGGCCACGTTAGAAAAAGCAATATCCTCATAACTATGTAGCACTCAGTTATCTGCACTACATAGTCAAGGATTATGATCTTTTGTTTGATTCTAGCATTTATCTATATTGAATATTACACTAATTGTAATGTTCTACAGCATTCTGCAGATGAGTGAATCCTTTTGGAAGAACTGCGTGAGAAGGTAATGATTGTCTAAAAGCTCATTAACATGTTATTTCAACTTGGACTTGGAGTCTGTAACAACAACAACTACATACCCAGTGAAATCCCGCATGTACTTGGAGTCTGTAACTTATTGAATTATCAATTCCTATCTGGACAAATGAGGACATCAACCTATCTTGATTTCGAGCAAGAATTGGTATATTGATTTTGATGAATAGGCAACATTGAATTTGAGTTTTGTGGGGATCTTTATAATAGGTAACATTGATCTTGATTTCGAGCAAGAATTGGTATATTGATTTTGGTTACCAATTACTACACAACTGTGCTGACCAAATTCAAAACTGGGGTTGGATGTACAACATTCATTCACAAGCTTCAAGATCATTTACCTGGTAAGTTACTATCTTTAATTAGATTTTCATTACACAACCACTCTGTGAAACTCAATAAAATTGCCATTTACCAGAATCCATTGCACTAAATTTTGCAACATTCATTAAAGTTGAACCTAACTTTGTACTAACACCTAGCATTATCTAATATTGGACACCAGAAAAGCACAAAGTTAAGAAGCCGCCTTAGTTTTCTTATAGCGAAAAGATAAGAAACTGAATATCTATGGATGATCTGGCTAGAGAAGTTCCAGTAGTTGGAAGCTTACCAGGAGAGTTAATATTGCTGTCAGAAAAATGACCACTTCTCTACAGGAATAGTCACCAACAAGAGGCACAATGCTGTGGGAATGCTCTTCGGAAAGGGGAGCGACATGACCAGACGATCATCTGAAAAGAGTCACGCCTCTGTCAGAAAGTTATAGGAAAGAGCGTGATTCTGTTAGAATGGTTGTCGTAGAGAGGCATGACATCGCTAGAACTATCATTGGAAAGAGGTCTTCTTGATCAGTTGCCTAAAAGAGGTATGTTCTCTCTGGAATGGCCACGAGAGAGAGATGTGATACTGAAGAGAGAAGGGCACCGATAGTACAAGGTGCAGGTCTTTGGTAGGTAGGGTGGGTTGCTGGAGAGCAGTAACACTAGTTGCCGGTATTGGCTTAGACTAACTGCCAGTAGGTCTAACCTGTATGAGATACAATCCACATCTTAGAGGAACTAGCTTCATTTGAAAACTTTAAGACTACTCTTAAGTTCTAACAGTTTTAATAAATACTAGAAATTATTAGTTAGAATGAGGTGATTAAGGAATAACTAGAATAGGCTCCGAGGCAGTGACAAATTTTTCTTATTTTTCTTTGATGAGTGGAGGAAGTGGGAGCACATGTAAGCTGAGGACTGCGTTTGGTTCCTCTTAGTTTTCAACTGCACACCATGGACTAGATCAAACTTGAGAACTGTTGCACTTTTCTGGATTACTGAATTTTGTTTCAACTGATTACATTGTCTGATTATGTAGATATCTTGCTATGAACTGGATAGGAAGCTATTGACTTCAATGCCATCTTATTTGTTAGAAATGCTGGTCATCACCAGCTCAGAATTTCTACTTTGTGTACCATATGTAGGTTAAGAGAGGTTCGACTAATCACCACAAAAAGGAAAATAACGAAGAGGTGTGTGTGTGTGGTTCTTGTTTGTCTATTAGAGGTTTAGAACATGCCACTTCATTTTTTTTCCATGTTAGATGTGCAATCGACTTGCAAGAAATGATGTGCAGCATTTAACTCCTTCTGTTGGAACCATTGATACTGAATTTGTTTATCTGATAAAGCTATTTTGATGTGTTTTCAAGAATCTGTTATGGTGACTAGTTGGTTCTTAATGGTACTTGTAGGATTGGCGCTCCATTCTTCTCTTTATTGAGGATACTGTCATGAATCTTTGGACTGGAAGTAACTCTGTTGGTGAGAGCAACTCCACATTCCCTTTCCTGTAGGCTGCAGCCCCTCACCTGCTTCCCTGAGGGGGGGAGGGGCACTGTGGAAGGTTAGTGGAAGAGAGAGTCCTTACCCATCAGAAGCTACAAAGCATTTCAGTGTTATGAGATCGTGTAGTTTAGTTACTTTCTTTTCTCTTAAGCTACTTTTGGAAAACCTAGATGAGAATATAGTTGTTGAAGTATCCGCCTCATCTATTGCTATCCCATTCCCTGCTCCGCTTTTCAGATATACTTGTGAATTATGAGATCAAGAAAAAGAAGTGTAGGGCCCAGAGTTGCAAAGTCACACTTGAACTTCCATCCCCACAGCCAAAGAAACTGATTGGAGAGTGCACTGTCAGGAGAGAGATTCGATCTTCACAGAATATTCTGTTGGGAAGTGCTTCTGAAAAGCTTGATACCGAGTCCAGATTCCTCTGTCAGACCTAAATTTCAAGTTGGTGAATTGATGGATCACTTGTTCATTGCACAGTTGGTGTAAACTATAAATCCAGAAACTCAGAGCAACCCCTTTCATCCAATGCCAGATAATTTGTCCTTGAGTGCTTGTTTGTGTTAATAATCAACAATATTAGAAAATATGTGTAACTAATTAATGTTCGTTTCCACCGTGCAGAAACTAGAGCTGTAAGGAGACTTCAGCATTCTTCAAAAGCTATCTGCTCAGAGCTTCCACAGCAGTCGTCCCATAAGTGTGATCAATCTTCCACCCAAAGTTGTGGTGACAGTGTATTCTCTGATGAAAGGTAATGTTATCAAATTTCTTGGGAGGGTTAGGTCTCTTTCTGATATTATCTCAAATATGTTAGTAACTTACACAACCTGATGTTTCTCTCTTCAGGCCAAGTGTGAAAATGAAACTTGTTAACATGTGGAATAGCAAATTACATACTCAAGGGGTGTGCACAAGTACACGCTATGGAGAGTCAAAAGAAGGTAAACCATTCCTGCCATTTGTTCCTGTGAAGATATTACCCTTGGGCCTAACCAAACCCCAAAAGCCGACTCACGGGGAGAGGATTGCCCAAGTTCATTTGACAAACCACCAGTCCATTATCCCATCAATGTGGGATTCAAACCCACTCTAACATCCCTTTCACGCCTAGGTCCCAACTAGAGCGTAGACCGGGAGCCCAAACAAGATGAACCTTTCTCCGATACCATATGAAGATATGACCCTTGGGCTTGATTTAACCCCAAAAACTTGCTCATGAGGGGTGAATTGCCTAAGTCCATATGAGCAGACCACCAATCCATTCTCCAACCCACTCTTAACAGTTCCTGTCCTGAATAAGAGCTTAATATTTCTAGTGCATGTTTCAGTTAATTAGCTTCATTTCTTTCACCGACTTTTCAAGATTATCTTAGACTGTATTCTTATAAATCATGAAAGCACTAGATACTACAGTGTCTCTTTCTAAGTGTCCTAGGCCACATAGTCTCTTTCAAATTCCATCTTGCTTATGTTCTGATTTTGTGATAGAATTGTCATGCCTGACACTTCTATTCAAATCTTCAGAAGTTGCACCAACAAAAAACTCAATGTATCTTATATTCTGGGACAAATGGAGTGACTTCCGTCCAGTGATTACAGTTAAGTACCTTAGCTATATCTCGGACAGTTTTGTGACTTCTTCTCTATTATGTTAATATGGTGGAATTTCTTCTTTCCAATATGAGATGCAGAGCGCTACTGGAACAGTCTTAAGAATCAGAATAATATACTCAATGTCACTTCTGGCATCTTGCATTTTGTTGGTGCTTCATTGGTTCCTGATATCATTGATAAAACTGCCTGGTGGAGGGTGCCAAAGTTCTTCAACAAGTTGATAAGAAGTTTATTCCGCTTGTGGGCGGGACAACAGTTGCTATAATTGATCAGGTCTATTCTGGCCTTTGCATAGTCCATTATGTCCGTTCTTGGTTTCTCATAAAATTCTTTATAGTGCATTTTCTTTAAAAATTGTTTCTCTTAGGGATCGTTTGGTTCCATCATTAGCAAATATAAATCTTAGCATAAATAGAATAACATCTGTTGGTCGTGTAAGTAAAAATAATAACTGCATAACTATGTACCACTCAGTTATCTGCATAAGAAAAATAAGCTCAACATAACTTATGCAGCGTCTGGTTGGCAGTATTTAACTGTTCATTATTAATTATCCTCATGACTTATGCGGGATTGAATATGGAATAAGAAAGCAGGTGTCACCAATGCACGGATGAGTATTTACAGGCAAAATTCCCTTTATATTAGATAGTCCCTGCATAGAATAACTCATTTATTATTCACCGCATTAGGATCACCTACATTATTATTTACCGCATAACAGTTTTTACATTATCATCACTGCATAAACATCCCCTGCATGACTAATACTTTCACCAAATAATGTCTTTACTCTTTTGTATTGCAATTTTGTGATATTACTGAAGAAAAGGATAGTGATATAGGGTGCTTTATCTATTATCCCATCACTTTGTGGCCGTCTGGTGGAGTATATTCTTATGTAGAAACTGAGGCCCAAGTCAAAATAAATGTGCGTCTCTTTTTACATAGTCAAGGATTATGATCTTTTGTTTGAATGTAGGTTAAGAGAGGAGTGGTTTGACTTATTGCCCAAAAAAGAAAAAATGTGTCACTTGTTCATCTTTGTTCCATGTTAGATGTGCAGTCAACTTGCCAGAAATTATGTGCAGCATTTAACTCCCTTTGTTGGCATCATTGATACTGATTGTGTTAATCTGATAAAGTTATTTTAATGTGTTTTTCAAGAATCTCTTGTGGTGACTGGTTGGTTCTTAATGTACTTGTAGGATTGGCGCCCCGTCCTTCTCTTTATTAACTATGGTTTCTTATGCTTCCTTTACACCAACGATATCAAAATATAGCCATTCAAACGATATGCATGCTTTCCCAGAAAGCTTTGGCTTTAAAAGAGAGGCTCTGAGCTCTATTTCTGACATTTCTTTGTTGGACATTGTACTAAAGCTCATGGGAGGCCAAACGGATATCGTAAGTACAGTTTTTTGAGATTTAGTTGGTAGTATCCATTAGGATAGGTATAAAACTACTAACTTGGTCTTTGTTATTGCCATTGTTTACAGAACGGCAAGTGTTTGTACCTCGGAGTTGATGATTGTAGACAAAATGTTGGTACAACAGGTAATTCTGTATAAGCCTACCTGATACATGAATTGACTGTTGTTTGCTAATAAGGAAATTTCTTGGGATTTTTCTTTTTGCAGTCATTGTTCGTGATGTATTTTACAACCAGCCAGTTAGAAGGAAGCAAATGCACTCCAAGTACTTATAGTTTTCTCACAATTCAAATAAATGAAAAGTATTGATTTACATACTTTACTTCTAAAGTTGTACTCTGACCTGGTTGATCTTTTGGTTTGCATATATGATCCGGAAGCCCGAAGAAGGTCTTGCATTCTCTGAAAGAGTCTCTTCTCTTTCAAATTATTGAGATTGAAAGGTCCGTCTTTGTTACACCAGCTAACCTATGGATATACTGTCTGGTTTCTTAAAGTTTGCCATTTGTGTGCAGTGAGAATGACCTGTGTTGCACACGTGCTTCTCTTTCTCCATGCCTACTATTGTCCAGTGAGGCTCTTCTATGAATTCTTATGTTCCTTTGTTTGCTACTTCTTATGATGAGGGCATATGTTTTACATGAAAATTGATACTATTTTTTCTCCTCTTAGTATGACACTCCCCTTCTAGCATCATTATTATTATTTTTTCAAATGAATATTCTTTTATCACAACTCTAGTTCTTTTTTCCATGAGATTTACTTCCTTATAGGACTGTTCTTTTGATGTTTGTTATTCTTATAAGTTGTGTACTACTAGTTTGAACTTTAATCTAGTTTCCACTTTCCACCAGGTATCTGTTGCTATAGGCATTGGGACCTGCTATGTCAAGGTGGATGACAAAGGTAAGTGTTAGTTTCTTTAACATTAATCTAATGCATTTTGATATGCAGAAAGTTCTGCTGAATTTTATTATTTTACTTCATCACCTGAAGTCGTCGTTTTTATTTGAAGGATCTGGAGTCACCAGATGGACTGGTGCTGATGGGAGAAAGATGTGGTAATCTTTTTGCAAAACGTTGAACTGACATCATCTTTTCTATTGTATTGATGCTGCTGTGCATAATTTATTTTGCCTGACAACTAGGATGTTCATAACTTTGAATGGTTGTTGTAGTCTATAGGATTGCATGCATTACTCTACTGCTATAGGATTGCATGCATTACTCGACTGATAGGCTCTTTGACAGTTTGTGTTCATTAGTGTCTTTTTACAGACGTCCTTTTATTTATTATTTTGTGTTTTTACTTGTAATTGAGGAAAGTGGTAACTCTGTACACACCACAAAATATTGATGCTTACACTTTGGTTTTGTGTTTATTAGAAGATGTTCATGTACATCACTTTGCTAGTTCTCAATCAAATATATTAGTTACTCGCATGACCTGATGTTTCTCTCTTCAGGCCAAGTGTGAAAATGAATCTTCTTAACATCTGAAATATCAAATTACAAGGTCAAGAGAGTGCACAAGTACACGCGATGGGGAGTCAAAAGTGTTGACACCCAATTTTGGACTATATTAATCATCGAGCTTCTTAAATTTCAAATGATTTAAAATATTTGACTTTAAGAAAAAATCCGAGCATTTTTCAAGTAATTTTGTCATTTTGTATTTGTATTATTATTATTTATTTATTTAATATAATATATATATTTATATATAATTAGTACATTTTACGGATGTTCGAAAATTGTTACAAAAAAAAATGTTTTTAGTTTTATTTAAATATTTGGTTAATTAGTTTAATTGATAGTTTATATTTTTGAGTCGATTAGTTTATAATTAAGTTAATTATTTTATTTTTGTTAACATTAAGAAGCTCATTGATTGATTTATATTAATTCGTCTTACTTAGATTTTAGCCGAATTTGTTACTCTAACTCAATTTGGCTATTTCTTAAACTCCAAGATCCAACCCTTTTAGCCTCACTTTAAACCCATTTTTCAGACCCAACTTGGGCCTATTTAAAACAGGCCCATTACTTTCAGCTTTCCAATTTCCCTTTTTCCCACTAATTCCCAGCCCACTCCCATTTCCTTTCCAAATCAGCCCAATTCTAACAACATTACAATACATACAGGAACAGCATACCAAACCGACCCAGCACCCCTGTACTCTCGTTCTTCTTCCTCAATACAACGAGCAGAACCCAAAAAAATGTGAGAAACAGTCCACTGTCGCAGCCCTCAAAGTGTGACCCGAGTCCAGCAAGCCCTGTACGCGCTGCATCTCTTTCTTCCACGCGAATCCAGCAGCTCACGTGAACCAAACAGCAGCAGTGTGCATTTTTCTTCTACCTCACACGTCAATATCCAACAACTCCCACAGCTTTCTCTGCAACAGCCGCCCACCTCGATCTTTTCATCCGAATTTTGGGGGATTTTGGTTGATTTTTGGTACAAACGAGCAGCTCTTTGGTTCTTGAAATTTTTTGAATTGAGGATTGAGGAGGAGAATTCCGAGTCTACCCTCATTCTCACTTGAATTTTCATCCCTTTTCCCCCATTATTTTGAACCCGAGTTTCGGCTATATATTCTGGGATCATTCATTTGTAAGAGGGGGATTTTTTTTTTTGGGAGTTGAAAAATTTGGTGTTAAAAAATAAAAATAATAGTTAGAGTAAGTATTAAAATTAGCTAGAGTTTGGAGGAAGAAATCCACTTGAGTGAAAAGTTCTTGAAACTTCCCGTTTGTTGTGTTCTATCCATTCCAATCTCGCCGGAGCCTCGTGTGGTGGTGGAAGCTTTTTCGTGGTCAGTTCGTTAATGTCCTAGTTGCTGCCCAGGAAAAGGTAACATTTCCCCCTTTATAATATCCCTCCTTTCCATTAAGACATGACGCTACTAGCTGTGTTTGTTCTCTGTTATTCGCTACCGAGCTGTGGGTGTTTTTATTAAGCGACTTTAGTGCCTACTCTTAGTGCTGATTCAAAGTTTTCTTTTTGCTGTTTTTGTAGTCGGTGTTTCTTTGTTTCGAATTTGTTTCATCGCTTGCTTCTCGTTTATTTGTCTTGATGTTTGAACTAGTATCCCTTTGTTTTCGTTGTCTTAAACATCCGGGTTTATTCACTTTGTTACTGTTAATGTTCTTTGTTTTCCTTTTGAAATGAGGGCAGAGCTAAAAAATAAAAATAAATAAAAATCTTTGAGTATGAAGTTGTATATTGTCTTAGCTATTGTTTGATGGGCTGTAGGAGTTGGTTTTTATCCATTTTTGGGAACCATGACGTTCTTACTCTCCTGCAGGTCATGTTTGAATTAAGTTTATGTCTCTATTTTGCTTAAATTTTAGTCGAAATCGCTTACCATTTGTAATCTAGTTCCAATTGCGAGCTTTATAGAATACTTAAGACTATACCATGTGGTCTTTCTCACTGATCAGATTGTTGTCTGGCATGCCCCCTTTACACTTTAAGTTGTCACTTGTCCATTGTAATGCCATCTGCCTTTGCTACACCTATGTTTGCTTGCTTTACTAAGATTATTTTCTTTCATACGTATGTATTCTTGGTTCTCTCCAAGCTTGGACTCTCCACAATTTAGTATTAGGATTTTGTTGATCATACTAGTTTTGATTACTTCCTTGTTTAGCCTTATTTTTTACCTTAAACTTCAATGGTTTTTTTTTCTTGTTGAGTTTGTCACTATTAAGGGGCCAAATGTCTGTTGATTAATATTCAGTAGCTCATCTTTTGTATTCTTAGAAGTTCTAACAGTAGACCTTGGCAGTGGTCCCCTTTTGGTCTTGAGATAATTAAGTTGATTTTAATTTTCAATTAAGTTATGTCTCATTTGCTTCCTTATCTTCGAATGCTAATTTTGTTTTTCTTTCTTTTGTTGTGTGAACCTTTCCCCGAGCCCGTGGTGGACTCCTTCTCTCTTGCATCCTCGAGATGAGCCGTAGAGGCTTAATTTATTTACTTTTTCTCCATCGAGTCGGCCCCCCAGCAAGCAGGGACTGATGTACAGGTCTTGGAGAAGTAAAAAACGGACTGTATACATGACCTATACAGCTGTATACACAAGTATACACGGAAAAAAACAGCGATATACAAGTCCAAAAATTGAAACAGGTGTTCTGGAAGTTGAATTAAGTTGTATACATTCGGTATACAGTCTTATATACAAACAAAATGGGCTGGGTTCATACGATATACACTGATATACAACCAGTGTATACAAAAACGGGATTGAACCTAAGCCTAAAATCAGCAGCGAATTTGGCCCAAGAAGGGCCCAAATTCAATTTCTCCCTACTCTTTAATTATTCAATTATGATTATTTATTGTTTATTGTGTGTTGACTCTAACTTTTAAATTATTAACTAACCTAATTAAATTCCCCAAACGATAAGTCATTTTCTTTGTATTGGCTTACTTTTTAATACACTCTTTTATTTGTTTTGTATTCATTTATCTTACTAATCAAATATATTGGCTATATTTTATCTTAATTAATTTTTTTTTTTGTTCTTTAAAAGATATGTTTTGAATGCCTCTTCCTTTAATCATCTTGCTTATTTAAATGGTTTTAAGTTAACACTTTTCTCAAATGAACCAAAAAATAAAAATTGTATGTGTTCTTTTTTTACCAATTGATTTAAAATGGTCTCATGCTTTAATTTATCAAATTGGTTAAAATTATTATTTTTTAAAATAAAAAATAAAATTTTAATCTAGTTTTTTTTATTAAAATTCTAATCACTTGTATCACAAGCCAAATGTGTCATTATTGAAATCTTTTTCTCTAAAAAGAGAATGTGTCGTTTATCTAATTATTTTTCTTGAATTAATTAAATATTGTAATTTATTTAAATATTCCTATGTTAAATTTCTCAAAATTAGTCAAATCATTTTAAGTCAAATTGCCGGTCAATCGCAAGTTAGCGGGCATTCCGAGGGCCTAACACCTTCTCGGAATGTATATTGAACTTCGAACCCTTTCATTTTTCAATTGATTTTATCTGTTTAAATCTTTTGAAAATCTTATAGTTTTTTTCTTGATTTTTACTATAAAAAAAAAAATTAAGTGGCGACTCTGTTCTTTTGAGAATTCGATTTGCTTAAACCATAAGTTTAATCGGTTTTTTTCAAAAACTCAGTCATTTTCCCTTTACATGTATTTTTAAATAAAACAAAAAGAAGGTCAACCATTTCTGCCTTTTGTTATGCTTCCTTCTCATCGCCATTTTAACTATGGTTTCGTATGCTTGCTTTACAACGACGACATCAAAATACTGCCATTCAGATGATATGCATGCTTTCCCAGCAAGCTTTGGCCTTAAAGGAGAGACTCTGAGCTCTATTTCTGATGTTTCTTTGTTGGAATTGTTACCAAAACTCACGGGAGGCCAAATGGATATCGTAAGCTTTGAAGGTAAAGTTCTTTTGAGTTTTAGTAAATAGTATCCATTAGGATAGGTATCAAACTACTATAGATCTAAAGGTAGAATTTCCCTTTTCTCCATTTCTTTTAGGATAAAGTTTTCTTTTGCAGAGAGGAAGCTTGGGTGTCATTCGAATTGATGAAGGTCACGTATCTTTTTTTTTCCTCTTAGCGATGTATTTATGCATGATATGTTAATTTGTCTTTGTTGTTGTTCAGGACAAGTGGAGGAACATGAGTGTCATGACAAACGGCTGTGGTTCTAGAGAGAAAGCAAGGTTGGCTCTCAAAAGAATGAATCAAGCCCGTAAACAGGATAAGAGGTCTTTATCTATCTCCACTAAGGCTAAAAGTGATGAGGAAATGGCTGAAGCAAGGCTAGCTACTACTTCTAGTGATTCTCCACAGATTCGTGGGTCAAAAAGATCTATCATAAGGTTAAACCTTGCTCATTACTTGTTACAGCATGACTCAAGTTGTCGCCTTATACATTTGCTTCTGCTCGCGGATTTAGTTAAATGTTGTCTTCTGCATGATCTCATACTTCTATAGTTCTAATTATTTTCACATTCTACCCATGTTATTTCCAAGTAATAGTTTGTGTTTTGTTTTTAGCATTCTGACTGTGGTAGATGGATAAAAGTTGTCCTAGCCTTATAATAAGTTTGTTATGTTCCAGTTTTTTGTCTTACTTTTTTCTGGAAGGACGACTATCTCTAAGTGTTGCTGCTTTACTACTATTATAGATTGGAAAATCTTATAATGGAGGCTATAAGCAACTTGAAGGAGCCGGGTGGTTCCAACAAGACTACTATAGCAACGTACATAGAGGTACTCATCTTCTTGTTGAGCTTAATGTCCGAAAAGTAAGACAATTTAGAGCAGTACTGCTTAGTTAAATTGCACTATATTCTTTCATAGGGCCTCTTAACACATTTTGGAATTTTGAAGTCTTGCTTGTCATGCCATCAATAACATTCTGAATGGTGTTTGCTCTTGGTGCTTCTTGCTAATTCAAGTATGAGTTCTTCTGGAACTCATTTGTTAATAGTTTTTAGTTCTTACCTTGTACAGTTGTTAATTTTTTAAGCAGTTCGCAACAGTATCAACTGCATAAGATTGTAGGAGTCTAATTTTTTCAACTACTTTTTGAGTATGGATGGGTCCTGGTTTAGTATCCTGTTCAGTATGAACTGAATGCTACCTTCTATGACTGTAACATTAATATGATGGTGCTATATTGCCTATTTTTTCCTCTGTGTTTGATCTTAGTTCTCTAGAGAGGCCGAAGCTGATGCTGAAGCTGCAATGAAAGCACTACAAGGGAGAAGCACCCCAACGATGGTAAGATATTTGTACAATATCCGGTCAGTTACTTGGTTTTTCTTGATTGCGTTTTGGTTGTACTAGAAAAAATCGTTATTTTTTTCATTTAATTGTAAACCGACTAAATTGATCTGCCAGGAGTCGAACCCGGGTCTATTGCTTAAAAGGCAATTATCCTAACCGTAGGACTACAAACACTTGCCTATTGTACATTCTCAAGACATAAATATTATCTATACTATCTAAAGACTACTCTTCCAACCTATTCATTATGAATCTTCATGTATTTGGGTCAAGTTTTACATTTAAAAAAAAGAAATTGAAATCACAATTTGGGATTCCAAATTATGATTTTTCTTTTTGTTGAGAGTTTGAAACTTAAAAGGCTAAGCAATATAAGCTTTCGAAGTACAATTGGTCCTTCTTGTCTAACTAAGACTAATTTATTCACTTCAACAACAAAAAAAAAAAAAAACTACTACAATACATAAGAGAGAGTAGAGAGATCAATTCCCTATCAGTTCACAATGGATCCAAACACGATTTAAAAGCTCTTTCTGTTGCGTTTTATCCGTACAATTGTCTTTCAATACTTTGAAAGCGACATCTTCCAAAGAATAGTAAGTATAGTCGTTACAAGTGTTGAAAGTGGGGAAGAAAACTGCATTATCCACATTTACGTTCTTGCCACAAACACCAACAGACGAGGCTTCGCTAGTGAAAAAAAGCCAATTTTTGACTTGTTTTACTAATCTGACTATTAGATTCCGTCCAAAGTCTAGTTCATAAACATGAACATCATGTTGTGGTGTCACAACCACGGAATGTAGCACATTTTGATCCTGTTGAACTAAAAATAAACGGCAAGAACCAGAAATAGGAGGTGAATATTGTTGAGAAAGTTTATGGATAACCCAGTAAGGGGTTCCGTTTCCATCTCTAAAGAAGCCAAATACAGCAACATCACCGTGCTGGCCTATGACATAAAATTCTTCACCAAAGTAGATCGGACTAGAACATGAAAGTAGGAAAGGCACCTCATTGTCTGCTGTGATGCTAGTCCATTTATCATCCCCTTGTCTCAAATATGAAATCCTAACTTGAAACAAGTTTAAGAAAGCTATACCAAAGATTACCCAGGCAGAAGAATTAGTTGGAGAAGCTGAGAATGACATAGTGTCGCAGAAATAGTTGTCTGTTTTTTGTGGGAGATGGATTATTTGCTTCCCAGGCGAAAGTAAGAAGATAGATTTTCCCCTAGACACAAGAAGCCATCCATCTTTAGCATACCGAATTTCACAGCCTACTAAGTCATTGTTGGTCATATAACAGTTGAAATTTCTAAAGGGATTATAGAAGGTGCACAAACCATCCTTTTGGTTTAGAGATAGAAGCCACATGGAGTCTTGATTGATCAACCACTTTCCAACGTAATGGAGGAGCAACGGATCTCCATAATTTACACACCAAGCGGAAACTCATGTATGCTTCTTGAGAAAGTAGGTAACGAGAAATTTGCCTTTGAAGGTCTAGAGAAAGATGGATGCAAATGTTGCTGTCTACAGGCACTGATGGACACTTTTTCAACTTGTCACCTCCAGTACTAGTGTTATGTTGAATATTGGCCCCTCCTGACCTAAATAAGTCAAAATAAATCAAATGTTATGAACAATATTCACAAACATTTATGATAGACGAAATATCTAAATTAATTACCTGACGAATAGAAGAACTGAATGTGGAAGGCATATAAAGTGTTGTTATGTGTGAAGTAGACATGGTTTTTTTCTTGAGGCAGAGATGAACAAGTTGCAGCGGAGAATCGTCTACATAGAAAAATAATAAATCCGTCCAAATTGAATAGTCTGTTGAATTGATTTGTTTCAAAGTCGGCCTCCCAACGTCAAAGACGGAAGGTGATCCGAATTTTCGTTGAACTAGAAACAATTGGTCTTGCCAAGTTACAAAGTGTCTGTGTCGATAGAGAGCAGTGGCATCTGTTGGTGCCCTGAATGTGACAGGAGACGGACTAGTAGTTATTTCAGGGATCATTTGTATTATGCCTAGTTTCCCTTTCTGGAACAAAGTGCATATTTTCTCACCATTACAGAAGGCGACCAACCTGCTATTTTTATAAAGTCTTACCTTTACCCACTTTTTATAATAAGGAGGACCGCAAATACGGCTCTTCATTGAAGTAGAGGGAGACGTTGCATAAGCATTCATCCTTGTTGAGAAAATATTCATGCGTTGAAGGGGAAACAACATACTTGATCAGCTTTTTTGTCCATTCATCGTAGTGGTAATGAGAATAAGGGAACTTGAATTTGGTATGTGGTATTTGAAGTGCCAAACAAAACATTCCGTCCGGTCAATGAAAAAACCCCAACGAGCCAAGCAATATCTCCCCTTCTTGTTAACATCAATTTTTTCCTTGGAAGTGATTGATGAATAGTAGTTCATCTTTTATTCAGACTTTGAGTCGTAATAACCCAATTCTCACATCCTTGACTCAATTCATATACTAGTTGTTTCCTAGTACAACTACCTTTAGGGAAACCTATGTATTTTTTTTATTACTTGGACACGTCAAACGTATGTATGTTTAGCCAAAAAAAATAAATAAGGCATTTTTTTTCCAAAAAATTAAGGCAGTTTTTTTTCCTTTGCCAATATAATACTCCTTCAGGCACGGCAGTACTTGTTATGCTAAAAATTATTTCTTCCAATTTATGGGATCACACTGGGTACAATGCTGTACTTACACTGCAACAATACTATCAATTCGATAACCTTTGCACAATTAACCCAAAAATACCATAAGTAATAAAATGTAAGAAACGGGAGCAACTTGAACTTGATTCTTCATAATTCCAGCCGTCTTTGCAGCTACTACTTGTGGCACAGATATACCAAGGAGAAGAGGAAGAAACCACCCATCTACCATACAAACAAAACGGAATCATACAAAATATTCTTGTAGATGAACAACCAAACTATATCTTAAATAGCACTTCCTTTTTAATATCCCGTGATAGAAAAGAGGTACGAAATAATCCAACAGATCAGATCATAAAATAAGAAGACTAAACGTTGTCATCATATCGCGTGTATGTTTCATTTTGACTCCCCCCTCTTCCAACTCTAAACATTTTAAGAGGAGGATCCAACAAATACTTAACAGATAGTACATATTTAAGAATCTTTAGATTTTTCTAGGTTTCCAAATAAAATCTTGTAAAATTAATTTGTAATCTAAAGACTCCTCAAGAGATACTTCCACAATAGGACACCAACTGCAACAAATTTTCTGTATCCTCAGTTTCCTGATATAACTAAGCAGAATTTACCACCATATCTGTACCTTTTAGGTGTTAGAAGTTTGATAAATACGCTCATTAAATCAGATAATAAGACTCCTTATACTCTAAGTCTCGACAACTTGAGGAGGAATTGTCTACACAGAAAGCAGGGGTTGGAACACATATAGTACATTAAAAATATGCTGATGGTAAATCAATTGTAATGCGTAACAAAGAGATAGATAGAGAGAGAGAGAGAGAAGTACCATATAGAAGGATGCTCCATAATAAGGAAAAGCAGCTGTTATAAATCTCTCATATTCATTATGTCTGAAGGGTCGAACAGGAATCTGCAAGTAAAAAGATTCCCCATATTAATGCAAATAACTATATAAGGTGTCGTCAACCACCTCTTTATTATATTATTCATTATTGAATTTCGGAAGATGACATATTTAAGACCAATTAAATGCAAAAGTCGTTTTCTTGCACTTCAAAGATAAAGCAATATTAGACTGTCGCCATTATTAAAAAAAAAAAAAAACTTAACGCAATAAGGAGAGCACAGACGTCGATGGCATTCATAAATATATCTCTTAAATGAGTATCTTTTATGAACAGCAGGTCACTGATGAACAACGACTATATTCACTGCTTTCATCCAACAATGTCTGGGAACTAGAGCAACAAAACAAATTATGAAACAAGACAAAATGCAGATATACAACAAATTTCGTGATGACTAAAAAAAGAAAAAAAAAATGTTTACAGGATAAGGTGTGTGCTGCTTCTACATATATATTTGAGTAAATGACAACAGACTAGCATGTAAACTATATGTTTGTGTTAAAACAATTGTTAAATTTAAATTTCAATTACCATTTTATGCGAAATCAATGTGCTTTCTTCATGATATCGATTTGGAGCTAAATTACTTTGTCTGTTAAATTTTTGAAAAATGGAACACAAATCATAGTTTATTTATACTTTATAGTACATCAAATTCCATCCTTTCCTTCCCCAAACCCATGGTAGTATCTAAGATCAAATTAATAAATGAAAAAAACATTACCTTCTAATGACACACAGATTTTGATACATTCGTTTAGGAAATGTTTTTAGGAATGGACAAAAATTACATGTAGGATGTTTCTAAAGCAAAAAGGATAAAATTACAATTCTACTATATGGAAGATCTTAAGTTTACTAATGTGTCATACTTTTGAAGGGCATCCACACCCTTGCCGTTCTCACCCCTAACGGAACTCCAACTTGAAGTATAACATAAGGTAATTTTAAAGTAAAGTGAAAAGTAGAGGGGTAAATTGAAACCTTATCATCCTGTTCACTTTGGACCTCTGTTGAAGGCAAAGACAGATATAAAGACGACTCATTAACGACAAAGGTAAGAATGACCCCAAAGTATAACTTAAAATTAAGACATTTCATATAGTAGAGGGGAAAATTTGGACATTTTTCAATTTCTAAAACCGCCGAGAGCTAGGATTACCAGGTCGTAAGGAATGGTGCTGAGACAATCTTTTAACTGTCATTGCCATGTACTTGCCCTGGTGCTCGGCCAGTGCCAACTCTGGTTCACTAGGTTCCCTGCTACCATCTCCAGAGAAAGTTCCTGCTCCATATGGAGAACCTCCAATTATTGAATCCATTCTAAACATTCCTGCTCCAAACGTGTATCCTATTGGAACATAGAGCATCCCATGGTGAGCTAATTGAGTGACTGCTGTCCAGCTGCGATACAAAAAATGAAACATTTCAATATGGTCCACTGGATTTCATTAGCAGATTGTCGTCGACCAAGCTTTGTCCTTCAATAATTGGTTGCATGATTAATATTGGAAGAAGGATATAAGTGGATCATCAGAAAGAAGAAAATAGAACAGAAGATAAAGGATATAGAGATAGCATAAGAGTACAACTATAGTCCTTCATAGACTATGTTAGTCTGTGGATAAAATGTCCTGTTTAAGGATTCTGCGACAACACATACAAGCAAGCCATTTTCATAAAATAACTAATCACAATCCAATTCATCCAAGATTTGAAGTTCATCCATTAGCATGAATGCATGATGACTTCCCAAGGTTGCAAAACCAGTAAGATCAATAACAAAAGTGACCTATTAGCCCGAGGAAGTTACTACAATAATAACAATTTTTTTGAATTAGTATACCTCTAAAATGACTTCTGAGCAAATATGGTTGGAATGACAGTAGACGATGCACCTATGGAGTAGTGGCTATAGCTACAGATCTCTATCACTATAATGGATAGTTTTCATAGCAGTCAACCAGTTTGCTAACTGAGATTTTGTACTGACAATTGTAAAGTGTTCTTGATGCCTTATATACCTATTACAATAAAATCTGACTGCAAGATACTTCAAGTCCCTTAGGCCTGTTGGAAAATCAAATTTCTTAAAGTACTTAATTGTTGGAGATCAATCAGAAACAGTACTTTTGGGTCTCTAGAGCCGTCGTCCTCAATGATTTTTTGCATATCGTGAGATGACGGGATTCCTTTAACATAATCAGTACCAGTTAAACTGATCACTAGTTGAAGGCAATCCTTTGGATGCTATTGAGACTACATACAATTTTTGTAAGGCTGACGAAAGGATTTTTCAGACCAGTTACTAGTATGCACTCTCATCAATTGTTATGGACTTAGATTCTGCTAGTGCTCTCCGTTTCTTCTGTCTCTTCATTGGCAACTACAACTAGGTGAAGCAATTATCTGAAGGGTATCTATCAATTTGCTTACGTAGAACTTTGTCACATTTCTCCTCTTTTTTGGTTTACATATATGTCACATACACCTTAGTCATTGTCCAAATGCATTAAGATCCAACTGAAAGTTGCAATTATCTCACACACAGTGATCAGTGATCAGACATCATCGATGACATAAAAGAAACGATTAATAGTATAAACACAAGTAAATGAATAACAGAAGACAGACTTACGCGGTGGTCTCCTGCCCACCTCCTTGTGTACCAGTACTGACAAAGAACCCTGCAGGCAATCCAGCAAGCTTTTGTTCTCTCCACAACTTCCCCGTCGAGTCAAAAAATGCCTTCATCTGAGCTGCCATACATCCATATCTTGTAGGAAATCCAAACAAGAATCCATCAGCTTCCATCAGCTCATCCACAGATATCACTGGAATCTCATCATTTTTTGGGGGGGCTTTCATTCGTTCCAAAACATCTGGTGCCAAAATTTCAGGAACCATATACAAAACCCCTTCAACACCTTCAATACCATCAACCCCTTTTTTCAGCCTTCTAGCTAATGTTTCAACATGTCCATACATTGAATAAAACACAATGAATATTCTCAACTTCTTGGACCCTTCTGCTTCTGACCCTGTTCCTGTTATATCAGTTTGACTCACTGGTCTCTCTGCTGGTTCATTTATAGGAAACTTGTTCTTGGTTGGCATACAACCCCCTCCTTTACCCATTGAGCTGAATTTAATCAAGAAATCCAAAATTATCACAACCCTTTATCTCAAAATTTTCAACTTTTTCCAAATAGGTTGTGAGCAATTCTTGAATTGAGAATTTAATAGGGAGCTTTAGCTATTTTAGATTATCACAAGCAGAGTTGACCAGAAGTCCTCAACTGTTTTTGGAACTTTCTACTAGAAGCTTCGCTGGCAAGTTCTAATTTACTGCCAACCTCAAAGTGAATTCCACGATTCAAATGATTTTGACAGAATTATACTGAAGAAACAAATGTTTCATAAAGATCTGACTGAAGAAACAAAGAAATTTCAATAAGCAATTTTCTGGATCTTGAAATTATTGCCGTCAAGAGAAGTGGCTGAACACCATCCAACTTCCCTTGTTTTGTGTTATTCCGATTAAGCCCCTTCCTTCTTCTATACACACTACTTCTTGTCAAAACAGGCCGGCCCAACTCCAATTTTTCAGAGGTAAGAAATTTAATGGACTGGGTCCGCCTTGAAATATCCAATACTAAAAGGCTTCTGGGCTCCTTTTTTTTTGAATAATTTCTCTATGTTAAGTTTTTAATACTTATAACAAATTTATATCAAAGTATATAGAATTTGTAAGTTTTAATATTTTTAATCAAAAGTTAAATATGCATAACTAAAAATCACAATTTAGAATTTATTAATTTTTGATGGACTAAAAATGCTATTAACCCTTTAAATAAGTATGAAATCATCAAAAGCGCAAATTATAAGTTGTTGAAGTACAATTGCTCCTTCTTATCTAACTAAGGGTCCGTTTGACCATGTGATATGAAATTATGACCATGTGGCAAAGCAAACTTGTATTTAAGTTCAGTTAGTCAATTAAATGAGAGTTATTAAGACTGACAATAGTTTGGGGGCGAACTAAAAATTCACCTAACGATAAAAATGTACTAATTTTGAAAAAATATAAATAAAATGAAAAAATAATTTAGTAAATAATAAATTAATAAAAATATACTAACCTAACCTTTATGTATACCAAGAAATAAGAAAAAAAATTACATAACTTTGTAGATTACAAAAGAATTTAAACTAAGTATAATATAAGGTAGTACTATTTAAAAGCTATAAATATGTAACCTAAATTATTATTAACAGTCAAATAACAAACTAAAAGGAAAACTGAACAAACAATTTAAGATCGCTTACACTGAGATTTGATCTTGGTATGAGAACAAGTAAATGAACCCAGTAACCACTGAGCCATGCTTCTTGATTGTATTTAGTGGATTCATTTTAGATATACAACTTTACAATGAATTTGTACATATAAATAGCAAAAATTTAAAAATGACAAAGTGGGTTCAATTGAACTCTCTTGAACCAATGTAGGTCTGCCCTGCATATAGTACCATCTTACCCCGTCTACTCTTCTGATTTATTCTTTTTGTCCTAATTTATGACCGTGTTTAACTAGATAAAACATTTAAAAAGTTTTTTCTTTTAATATATAGTCTAGATAAGTTATAAATATTTGTATGCAGGGGCAGACCCGCATACAAATATAACATTGTATATAAAGATCAAATTTTGGTTTAATAAATATATATGCAAGTATTGACATCTTTTGACACAAGTTAAAAATCTAGTCTAATGGTTAAGGTGTTGTGAAAATTCCTTGAGGTTGATCATCTTATTGATGGGTATAACGAAAATTTTAAAATTAAACTAGTAATTTTCAATTAAGCTAAATTATTTGATAACCTTTGCACAATTAACCCAAAAATATCGTAAGTAATAAAATGAAAGAAACGGGAGCAACTTGCCAAGACCAAAAATTCCTTGGGAATTGTATGCATAAAACTATCAGTGGATGTAATTTCAAATACAAGTTCCCAATAATCCATTGTTGCTAAACAAAATAAAACTACCTTTTTCCGTTCCAAGAAACACTACATCCTCTATTTTATAACTTTAAAAGTTAGACCATCAAATACAAAATCTGCACTTGATTCTTCATAATTCCAGCAGTCTTTGCAGCTACTACTTGTGGTACAGATATACCAAGGAGAAGAGGAAGAAACCACCCATCTATCATACAAACAAAACAGAATCATACAAAATATTCTTGTAGATGAAACAACAACCAAACAATATCTTAAATAGCACTTGCTTTTTAATATCCCGTGACAGAAAAGAGGTACGAAATAATCCAACAGATCAGATCATAAAATAAGAAGACTAAACGTTGTCATCATATTGCGTGTATGTTTCATTTGACTCCCCCCTCTTCCAACTCTAAACATTTTAAGAGGAGCATCCAACAAATACTTAACAGACAGTACATATTTCAGAATCTTTAGATTTTTCTAGGTTTTCCAAATAAAATCTTGTAAAATTAATTTGTAATCTAAGACTCCTCAAGAGATACTTTCACAATAGGACACCAACTGCAACAAATTTTCTGTATCCTCAGTTTCCTGATATAACTAAGCAGAATTTACCACCATATCTGTACTTTTTAGGTGTTAAAAGTTTGACAAATACCCTCATTAAATCAGATAACAAGACTCCTTATACTCTAAGGGGTCGTTTGGTGTGAGGGATAATACCATATAGTCCCGGGATTAAATTATAGTACCGCTTATTTTGTTGTTTGGTTGGCAAGTTCGGGATAACTTATCCCGGGATTAATAATTAGTACTGGGATAAGTTATCCCTCTATTTGGGTGGTATAGTAATCCCGGGATAACTTATCCCGGGATAAAATAGGTAAATGACAAAAATGTCTCTTTCAACCCTTTTGTTATATCACTTTTTACATTAATGAAGGGCATTTTTGTAAACAAATAAATTGTTCTTAAAATTTATTATTTTGAATACAACAAACCAAACACTCAATAAAAAATAATCCCAACACAACTTATTCCATCATAACTAATCCCAACATAACTTATCCCAACATAACTTATCCCATCATAACTCATTTTCAAACCAAACGACCCCTAAGTCTCAACAACTTGGGGAGGAATTGTCTACAGAGAAAGAAGGGGTTGGAACTACATATAGTACATTAAAAATATGCAGATGGTAAATCAATTGTAATGTGTAACAAAGAGATAGATAGAGAGAGAGAGAAAGAAAGAGTGGGGGAGAGAAGTACCATAGAGAAGGATGCTCCGTAATAAGGAAAAGCAGCTGTTATAAATCTCTCATATTCATTATGTCTGAAGGGTCGAACAGGAATCTGCAAGTAAAAAGATTCCCCATATTAATTCAAATAACTATATAAGGTGTCGTCAAACACCTCCTTTATTATATTATTCATTATTGAATTTCGGAAGATGACATAGTTAAGACCAATTATATGCAAAAGTCGTTTTCTTGCACTTCAAAGCTAAAGCAATATTAGACTGTCACCATTATTTTTTTTAAAAAAAACTAAAGCAATAAGGAGAGCACAGGCGTCAATGGCTTTCATAAATATATCTCTTAAACGAGTATCTTTTATGAACAGCAGGTCACTGAGGAACAACGACTATATTCACTGCTTTCATCCAACAATGTCTGGGAACTAGAGCAACAAAACAAATGATGAAACAAGACAAAGTGCAGATATACAACAAACTTCGTGATAACTAAAAAAAGAAAAAAAAAGAATGTTTTCATAATAAGGTGCGCTGCTTCTACATATACATTTGAGTAAATGACAACAGACTAGCGTGTATTCTAAAGAGTATTAGAAGTTATTTATCATGTTGTAATTTTATTTTATTTTGATGACAAGGGAAACCCGCAGCCGCTACCCTTTGGGTGCGCACAGGGTAAAACCCCCGCTCCTTTGCAATAGCTCGCAAACCACATAGGAGAGGTAACCCGCACTAGGCAAGCCCGGTGCGACGAGCTCGACCCAGAAGGCAAACCCCTTGCTTTCGCTGGCAAGAGGTTTCGAACTTGAGACCTCCAACATGGAAGTCCCAAACCCAAACCACTGGGCCACCCCGATGGGTTATCATGTTGTAATTCTCTCACCAAATAAGTGGGAAAGCAAAAGTCCTAGATAAATTTGTGTCCAGAAAGTGACTGATACAGCATATATATTAGCTCTTCACTACAAAATCTGTAAAACATGAAAATAACGACTGCACCTACCTCTTCTAACAATTAACCAGCTTAAAGTATGATAACAAAATTTTTAAAGTAATAGATGCCTCCATAAGAGATGATTCCTGTAGATTTCGAAAGAACATACCTGTTTTGCAAGGCTCAAGCTTGTGACTCCTAATTTCTCGTACTCAACCTTAAACTGGAATACTCCATAAACATCTGGAACCTTGAATGATGTATAATAGACACCCTATAGAAAATGAAATTAGAAATATTAATCCAAGTGCTAAAACAATTCCTACCATAAGTTAATTCTGGAGCACTTAAAGAGTACCTTCTGATCAGTTGACATGGTTTTCAGAACGTACGGGCTCATCATGTAAAACTGAACTTGAACATCATCTGCAACATAAGGTTCCCAACTTGTTCCAGACCATTCATAAATCTCAAGAGAATATTCCTTGGATCAAAATCTCAGTTTCAGTACACATCCAAAAGCATTAAGTAAACATAATATAAGATTGATAGATTATTCAAACTTGCAGTGTAGTAGTACCAGATCATCATTGATTCTGTATATAGAAGGTTCATCTGCCTCCCCAACTTTGTGATGTCTTACATTCACAGCCTATATATGAAAGTGTATAGACATAAATTCCCAATTCACATATTGAGAACAGCAAATATGGATAGTGAAATGCAGCCAATTGAAGTGCATTTCTTTTATGACTACAAGAATGCCCAAAGTAAAATATTAAAATAAAGAAGCAAGTGGATATGAATTAAGAACTTATATCTGATACTGCACCTTGAGATGGCCTCTTTCATGGAAGACCCACTTGCTAATTTCAGTCACAAACTGCTCATTACCAGATTTCTCATGGCTGTGATCATGGAATAAATTTATGGTCAATCAAGTCAGAAAGCATAAACAATACAAAATTGAATTCTACTTTACGTGGAAGAGGA